AAGCGCCACGGCCTGCCATTGATCTTTGTTTAGGAATACTGGTCCCTGCGGTCTGCCCACAGCATGAACTTGATCTCATGAGCATCGTAATCCTTCCCAAAAACTTCGACAGTCACGATGCCCTCCGGCGGCGCAGAGGTGAACCATTCTTCCTCCCATGGCGGTGTTGAACTTGATGAAGCATAAGTGCCATGTCCTGAGGCTGAAGCCGGCGGCGCCGCTTTCGAGCCCTTTGAATAGCTCTTCCAACGCTGCCATACAGGGAGATCATATCGCGTATTTCTTTCTCCTTGTTGATCTCGGTATGCTTTCTTCCTCATCTCCTCATTCCAATCGATCCCATCTCCTCCATAAGTTCTCGACTTCTTGAAGCTGTTGAAGGTGTCCACCCATTTTGGCAGCGGCATGTTCAGCGCGTCCAATTGAGGTGGTCCAGCGTTGGGGCCGCCCTGGAACGTCAGGTCGATCTTCTCTTTGCTCATTTCCGGGTTAGCTAGATCTGCGGCAGAGAGCTGTCGCTCCGCAAGGAATTCATAGCACTGATGTAGGTACCCTTGCACTCGATGTCTTGCTGATTTCCTGATTCTGCTCCACTGACGCAATATCCAGTCACCCAAACATCATATGTGATTTCTGGAAACCATTCACGAAGATTCCTGAACGCTTCCGTCATCATCATCCCGAACGGCTTTTGGTAAGACCATTTGGAACTTGCTAACCTGTGCTCATTGAAGCACTTCATTATGAATTGGGTGTACTGCATGCAGTTCACCGCGGCTGCTTCCTCTATCACGTTCCACTCTCTCTTTGCGCTTGATAATTTGGACCTCGAAGAACGACTTGACAGTCTCCTTCCCCTCGGCCTCATCGTCCATGATATTGAACATAAAGCGTAGTTGTCGGCGTAGTTGCTCCTGAATAATCTCGTTGTTTCCCATAAAGGCAGCATAGCTAGCACACACGAGATAGGCAGGCGGCTCCCCCTTCTTCACCCAACGCTTGCTGAAGGTAGTGTCTTCCTCACCACACCATAGACAGATGATTGATATAGGCCTTTGGGTTGTTCTTCAGGAGCTGTTCATTTCCCATACCAAAATCCATGATGTCTTCGTCTTCGTTTCTGTCTTGGAAGCTTAACCTTGCGGCAAGTAGTCCCAGTAGACCCACCGCCTGTGCAGGGATGTTCTTCTTGATGAACGTTCGGACCGCATCAATACCAAAATGGCTGTCGCTGTCGGAAACAAAAACCGGTGGAAGTAACAACACCGGCACATGATTCTGGTTCACCACGAGATTGCTGAACATTATAATGTTCCTTCCTTAATTCACGCACGGCTTGAATGATCTTGTCGAACTTCTTGCTAAGGCTTGCTTCACTAGACAAACGACCGTTCTGCAGCAAAGGATGCGGCAACGAAGGCCAATCTTGTCACATGTCTCTTCTTCCACAAGGACAAGGTTCCTTGCTTGAGCGTTTCGATGATCGTTTGCGCAATCTTGAATCTATACAATTGTGTCACGCGTGTGTCTCTTCCAGCACATGGTACATGCTGGCGGCGACCGTTGCAAGTCTTCTTCAATCTTGAAAACGCACCCCCCACGAGACTATCTTTCATGGCTTCTTAATGGGCGCGCGCTTTTTATTATACCGCGACGTGAGGCCATACATGCATCCATCGAAATGGTGTATGTGAGATTCTGTACCATTCACAAGTTGTTGCATACTCTCATCATTCCAGTAGTCACAGCTTCTCGGCAGTTCTGTTAGTGCGCAGGCATCGATGGAGAACACACGCTCAAGGACTTCTGCAAAGCTATCCCAAAGGTTCCAGTACTTCGTAGTGTAGCAGGCAGAGCACTTGGTGAACCTCTACGCGCAGATTTCGTGGCAGGCGCAGCACTTGGTGAACCTCGTGGCAGGCGAAGTAATTTGCGAACCTCGAAGTGCGGATTTTGTGGCGCGCACAGCGCGTTGCGAACGCAGATTTCGTAGCAGGCAGAGCACTTGGTGAACCAGATGGCGCAGCGCCTTTGTGCTCTCAGACGCTCACTCTCACTCTCTGACTCACTCTCTCACTCTCACTCACACCCACACTCACTCCCACTCCCACTCCCACTCCCACTCACACTCACACTCACTCTCACTTACACACACTCACTCACCCACTCTCTCACTCACACTCACACTCACTCTCGGTCGCCCTCCCATCCCCTGGAGATTCACGAGTTTGGGAAGCTCCCTACACCCTTTCCTTGGAAAATTTGGTCCTGTACTTTTTAGATGGCCCTCCCATCTGCAGATTCACGAGTTTGAAAGCTCCCCACAGCTCTTCCTTGGAACAATTTGGCACTGCACTTTTTGAACGGCCCTCCCATCTTCTTGAAGTTCACGAGTTTGGGAAGCTCCCTGCACCTTCTCCTTGGAAGATTTGTAGTTTTTGGATGGCCCTCCCATCTTTTCAAGATTCACGAGTTTGGGAAGCTACCTACATCTTTCCTTGGAAGTTTCCGCGAGATTCATACCTGTTCTTGATTCCAGCTTCCTCACCCTTACGCTCGGAGCTTAGCGCCATAAAAAGCGCCTCCCCTAGTGGGAGGTGTGTGTGTGTGTGCACCCCTTGGAGTCATAGGGCTTGGATTGGAGAATGCACGTTCTTTACCGATCTTTTTCCACCGGTCCCAGAGGAGCAGCGGCCAACAAAGACCTCGTCTGGGATAGCAAATTTCGCAAGTCAAGGCGGTTCAGTTCAAAAAAGAATCATCACTTTTAAGATGGTTGAACTTAAAACAAAAACCACAATCAATCCCAATTCCTGCTTCAGTGCAATCCTCGTGTCTTGGTTTTATGTCGCAGGGTGCATGGTGCTTCCAGAGCTTCCATATGGCTCCACTTTATTAACGGCCAATCTCAGTTTGACAAGTAGGCCAAAATTAAGAATGTATGCGACAGGTTTAAGTTTTAAGATAACCACAAAGACACACAAACAAACACACACACACATTATGTGTGTGAACGCACATGTCATGCTGCCACCAGGTTCAATATAAAAAGGGATGCCAACCGCGCCGAGCCAACCACTATCCAAACATCAAGTGTGTGAATCTGACGAACATCCACAGATTTATGTATAGTCAAGATTCTGTCAATCGCCCTTGCTTTCCACACAAAGGAATCATAACTGCGGACAGTGCCCACCCAAAAGTTATGATTCTTAAACATGCTATAGTTTCCCCAAAAAAGAATCATAACTGGTGACACAGCCCACCTAAAAGTTTTGCTTCCAAAACAGTGTTATAGTTCAAAAAAAGAACCATAACTGGCAGCACTGGCTACCAAAAAGTTATGATTCCCAAAAAAGTTATAGTTCCAAAAGAAAAGAATCATAACTGGCTACACTGGCTACCAAAAAGTTATGATTCCAAAATATTCCAAGCAAAAAAGTTATGATTCCAAAAAAAAGTTATAGTTCCAAAAAAAATGAACCATAACTTATGATTCTTTTTTTCCAAACAGATGCATAGCCTAAATCTAACAAAAAGCCTTCAAAATCAATTGTGTTTGCTAGTTTTGAGCTATGTGTTTTAGTGAAAAACCTAGATTTACAGAGCCCCAAACTAGCAAACACCTTTGATTTTGAAAGGTGTTTGATAGTTTTTGGCTATGATTTTTTTTGAAAAACGAATCATAAGTTATGGTTCCTTTTTTTTGGAACTATAATTTGTTTTTTGGAATCATAACTTTTTGGTAGCCAGTGCAGCGAGTTATGGTTC